TCGCAAGCCTGCGCCGTTGGCATCATGGCCACCGCGTCCTCATCTGCTTCGGCATCCTCCTCCTCCTCCTCCTCGTCCTCCTGATCGGCATTCGCCTCGCCTTCATCCTCGCGCGATGCTGCCCCTGCACCCTCGTCGTCGGACTCGGCCGCCTCGAGACCGCCAGCCGCCGCGGGCTTCGCAGCGACAGCTGGCCTCTTCATTGCGGCAGGTCTCTTGAAGATCTGGTCCGCGTTGAACTCGTCGTCGCTGGCGCCCTCTTCCTCGTCTTCTTCGGCGCCCTCCTCCTCCTCCCCCTCCTCGGCTTCGCCCTCGCAGTCATCGTCGACCGTGGCAGCGACGGCCGCAGCTGGCCGCTTCGCGGCCGTGCCGCCCTGCGCTGAAGCTGGCCTCTTATGGGCGCCAGCGCTGGACTCAACCCGCTTTTTCTCATTCTTGAGGTCGTCCAGGGACGCAGCGCCAGACACGCATTGCTTGGCGAGATTGATCATCCACGGCACGGCCTCGAGGGGCGGAGGAGGAAGAGGAGGGGGGGGAGGAGCAGGGGGAGGAAGAGGAAGGAGGAGGAGGAGGAGGAGGAGGAGGAGGGAGGGGGGGGGAGGAGGAGATGGAGCAGGATGATGGAGGAGGAGGAGGAGGGAGAGGGGGAAGAGGAGGAGGAAGAGGAGAACGAGGAGGAGGAGGAAATGAGGAGGGAGGAGGTAGACAAGGGGAGAAGGAGAAGGATGAGGAGGAGGAGAAGGAGGAGCTGGAGAAGGTGAGAGGAAGATGATGGTGATGATGGTGATGATGATGATGTTGATAATGATGATGATGATGATGGTGATGATGATGATGATGATGATGACGGTGACGATGAGGAGGAGGAGGAGGAGGTATATGAGGAGGAGGACACAGGAGCAGCCAAATGAGGATGAATGGCGCGCCTTGGACTGTTCCATGCATTTGAACGCAATCTGCATGCGCTGGCCGCCATCGATGCGCAGGATGCAACCTTTGTTGCCAGGGTCGAGCTGCTTCAGCTCGACGCGGACGATCGTATTCTCGTCCTGGCTGCCCGCATCGCGATCCTCATATTCCTCCTTCTCCTCCTCCTCCTCCTCATCCTCCTCCTCATCCGTCTCCTCCTTCTCCTCCTCCTCGTCCTCGATCCGCCTCCACGTCGATCGATCCGCGGCCTCCTCGAAGTCAATATCATCATCATCGACTTCTCCTCCTACTCCTCCTCCGCCTCCTCATCCTCCTCCTCCTCCGCCTTTTCATCCCGCCGTGGCCCTTCAAACGTCCCGAAGTTCCTCGACAGCAGTGAACATGACGTTCGAACCTCTGGCCTTCTTGCCCGTCGCGCCGTCGCCGCCCTTCTTGCCCTGCGCGCCGTCGCCGCCCTTCTTGCCCTGCGCGCCGTCGCCGCCCTTTTTGCCCTGCGCGCCGCCGTCGCCGCCCGAGGACGGGCCAGCAGCTCGACCGCCCCTGGCGAGAGGTATGGGGGGCGGCAGCGGCGCGGCGGGGCCAATGCGAAAGGGCCCGAAGCATGAGGACGGGGGAGGGGGAGGAGGAGGAGGAGGAGGAGGAGGAGGAGGAGGAGGAGGAGGGTAGGAGGAGGGAGAGCGGACGATCGATGAGGAGTCTGAAGGGAAGGGATCTCTATCCGAAAGAGAACGGGGAGATAGATGGTGGGGACCACGCGGCAGGTTGAGGGCACGATTGAGAAGATGGATCCACCGATCGGGGGGGGGGCACGCAGCTCCAAGCCGGAGAAGAGGATGAGCCTCGAGGAACATGAGGGGGATGGCGAACGGGGGAGGAGGAGGGAGGAGGAGGATCGAGAAGGAGAAGGAGGAGGACCTAACAATGGTTGGGACCCGAACCCCGCCTGTTCTCCCACTCATTCACGCTGAGATTCGAGATCTCCAGCACCGTGCCATCGCTGCTGAAACGGGCGAGCATGGGTGTGGCTGGCGAGCTCACGTCGGGCTTAAAAATATCTGATGTTGATTCTGGGACCACGTCGCCAGGTTTTGTCCTCTGGGGGCGTTGAGTTCGATCGCTATAGGTAAGTATAGCGATCGAGCTCACTTATCGTCGGCACCCCCCAAGCGACAGGACAGCGGTGCTCAGCGGTGCATCGGCGATGCGTCAGCGATGCGTCAGCGATGCGGCAGCGATGCGGCAGCGATGCGTCAGCGATGCGTCAGCGATGCGCCAGCGATGCGTCAGCGAGCTGATGGCGACGACGAGGGGGGAGGAGGGGGGGGGGGAGAAGAGGAGGAGGATGAGGAGGAGGAGGAGGAGGAGGAGGAGGGCGATGGGGAGGATAGGATTAGGGGAGGAGGAGGGGAGGAGGTGGAGGAGGAGTGTCCCTCCCTCCAGGTTCAGGAGGAGGAGAAGGAGGATGAGGAGGAACAACGATCCCCGCGCACGTGTCCTCTGGGCCATGCCGGACACTGCGTCGAACGTGGCGGGGGTGCTCTGCGCTTTGCGCAGCTTCTCGAGCCAGTCCGAGCGTTGGCCTTGAACACGTTCTCGACGAAGCGGGTCATATAGATGCCTGGCTGTATCAGCCCCCCTTTCCTCCTCCCTTCTCCTCTTCCTATTCCTCCTCCTCGTCCTCCTCCTTCCTACCTCCCTCCCTCCATCGTCTCCTCCTCCTCCTCCTCCTCCTCCGTCTCATCCTCCTCCTCCTCCTGCTCCTCCTCCTCCTCCTCCTCCTCATCCAAGTTATCTTTATTTTTCTGGTCCTCATCCTCCTCCTCGGCCCTCGCCCTCCCCCCACCTCATCCTCCTCGATCTAACGACGAGTCGGCAGACGATCGAGCCTGCACATCGAGGCAAGCATCTTGCCGCGCTCCTTGGCCCAGCTGTCGGCGTAATCGGATGTGAAGCCCCAGCTGTCTGCCTGCGCGGGCCGCCGCCGTCTCGAATATTCACCGGCGTCGCCGTCCTCTCACTCTCCTTCCTCTCTCCTTCCTCCTCCTCGTTCCTCGTCCGCCCTCCTCTCCCTGTCCACTCCTCCCCCCCTCCCTTACACCCCTCCTCCTGAGGCTCCTCCTCTCCTCCTTCACTCCGCCCTTTCCTCCTGTCGAGGCTCCCCTTCTCTCCTCCTCATCCTCCTGCTCCTCCTTCCTCCTCCTTTCCTCCCTCCTTCTTTCCTCCTTCTATTCCTCCTCCTTCCTTCACGTGGGCCCGCCGCGCCTTCTTCTGCACGAAAATGGAGAAATGGCGCTCGTGCACACGCGTTCCTGTCTTTGAGGCTCATGTTCGGATTCACGGCCTCGATGTCTTTCAGCAAGTCTGCCTTGCCAATCAGATAATCCTGAGCCGTTGGGGTCAGCTTGTCCTCGCTTGGCTTGGTACCGTACTGTATATGTGTTGGCGATGAAACGTGTTTCGTGAGAACGGCGGCGAGCTTCTCTGAATCTCTAAAATGAACACGTTCTTTCTCGGGCATGCTGCTCGTCTGCGGCTGCTCGCCGCCAGAAACACAGGGCCAACATGGCTGTATGACGGGCGACGGAAATTCACACCGATGTGCAGACGGACCAACGCAAACGGCAATGCAACACAGTTCACTCCAATGCACTATAATACCCTACACCGCTGTATCCACATACCGTATATGGACATATGCATAGCTATTATATATCGTTTAGTATATATATATATACGTGTATATATATATATACCACACGATACACGCAACACAAAACAAGACAACACAACGAAATGCAACGCAGTGCCCGTGCATTATTCAATGCACCAGGCCGCCGCCGGACTATTTTAAGCGACCGCGGTAAACCAGGTATCCGCCGGATTAAAATAAACAGCCGCGGCTAACTTAGCAAACGCACCCCGCCTGGGTCTCTCTCTCTCTCTCTCTCTCTCTCTCTCTCTCTCTCTCTCTCTCTCTCTCTCTCTCTCTCTCTCTCTCTCTCTGCGTTCGCCTGTCCTCATGTCTCTCGTCTACTTCCGCTCTCTCGCAGCTCACTGTCTTCTCAAGCTCTCTGTTTCGACCACCGTCGCACATCTCTATTTCTTCCCTCTGCTTCTGTCCGTTGTATATCAATATGCTTTGTTGTGCTAGTCCTTCCATGTGCCATCCGCTCTTCTTGTTCCTCGTGGCCGCGCGTCGTCACTCAATTGCGGTGCGGCAGTGCGCCAATGACGGGTATATGCAACGGGTATAACACGTTGGCGCAGAGCACTGTAAGGTTTTCAATTAGAATGGTCTTCTTACTTGGCAGCTGTGGCACGCCCCCTCCTCCACGGGCAGCGCCCAGCCTCTGGGCGGGGAAGACCAGGGCACGGGGGAAAAGAAGAAGTGGCACCCATTAAACTTGCGGGGGGGCCCGGGGAAGGAGGAGCAGCAGAGGGGGGAGAGGGGCAGCAGCAGTGGCAGCATCGCCAGCAGGACGATGAGCGCGAAGGTCAGCGAGGACGACCGACCGAGGAAGAGGAGCGAGGAGCGAGAAAAAACGATGATGAGAACGTGGGGGAGGGGAGGACGAGGAGCAGATATGAGGAGAAGGAGGAGGAGAAGGAAGAAGAAGAGGAGCGAGGATGGGGAGGAGCGACGAGGAGCGAGAAGCGAGGGGCGATGAGGAGCGGGGATCGGGGCACTGGAGGCGCGCCTCCTCCTCCTCCACCCCATGGGCCCACTTCAGCTGCTGACTTGCCCGGAGGCTGACTCGGCCGGCGCATCCGGCCTCGCGGCGATTAATAACTGGCTGCCTCGGCCAACAACGAGGAATGGATGCGCGGCAGGGGTTCGCGCAGCGACAGAAACAAGCATCAGAGAGGTAGCAGTTTTGCGGCAGCGGCAGCGGCGAAGAGCAGCAAAAAGAGATCGATCAGGCAGGATCGCCGGGCGGAGGGAGGGGCCAGGATGACGAGGGGAAGGGATGAGACGAAGAGGAGTGCGATGATGAGGGGGGATAATGATTTTTCCAGCCCGGCCGAAGCAGCTGATCTATCACTGCAGCCCAGCCGAAGCAGCTGACCTATCACTGCATGCCCGAGCAAGAGCGCGCAGCGTCCACGGACGCAAGCTTCTGGGCCAAACCCCCGAATGCAAATGAATTCTTACAGTCCTTGTACGCATCTTGGCGCAACTCATCAGGCAACACTAACGCCAAAAGAGCGCTCTTCTTAGCGCCTGTGAACGCTGCCTCCAAGGTGGCCCAGCTACTAACCCCATCAATTTTCCACTTGCACTGGGGAATCCTGGAGAAAAGTAGTTCCAGGAACGCGCAGTACTTGGTATTGCTGCCCGGCGACATGTATAATGTCTTCTTTAGGTGGCACACTTGCATGCACTTCAAAGCTGGGCCGCGCCCCGAAATCAGGAATCCAGGCGACACCTGGAAACCGCCCCTCACTGCAGACGCACATGTGATGAACGGTTGAGCTGCTCCTGGCTTGGGAACAACAAACACATCAGCCTCGAAAGATCGTTTGATCCTCAGGCATGCCTCCCTGAGCGCACGCTCCAGACCTGCCCTCCCTCGGCAACTGTCGTACACATAGACAGTTTTGCCCCTGATCGCTGCCGTCATCTCTGCTCGACTGGCACCGCGTAAGAACTCCGCGTCGCGTGCCTGCCTGCGCTGGCGCGCCTTCAGGTCAGCGATCTGCTTCGCTGCCTTCTGAGCTGCATCGGCGCGAAGAGCCGGGCTGGACTCATGTTGGAGGAGGCCGTTCTCGTGAATTGCTGCCAAGGACTTGTCCCGCAACTTGTTGTTGAGAAATGACAGCTCCTTCTCGCGGGTCCCCCCCCATGCAGCGCCGGCTCGGAAGCCGACTAGATCGTTCTGGATTGCCAGCGCCCTCTCGGCGCCCAGCACAGACGCGGCTGCGCCCCGGGCGGCCCTCCGCCGCTTCGCGATGAAGCCCGCCTCCGTGAAATCAGCGGGGCCCGCGCTGCGCTTCACGCCCGTGTCGATCCGAGGGGGCAGGGGCGACGCCCTGGGCGGGCCGAACGACATGCGCCACGCTCGCTGTGCCATCCTGATGATCTCTGGCTGGTCGGATTCAGGGAAATCCATAGCCACCTTGAGGAAGCCTTCCTCGTGATCCGCCGTGGCTTTGCCCATGCGGTCAGTGGGCTTCAGCGCGGCTTGACTGAATTTCTGTTCCACTCCAGACGAGCTCAAGCCATAGGCGATGAAGGCGACAAGAGCACGGCCCAGCACGTCGGACGGGTGGCTGGCCGTGAGGTGGCGAGCGCCTTTTCTGCTCAACGCAGAGCGCCACGCATCCTCGTTGTTAGATGATGACGGGCTGAACAACTTGCGCGCGCGAGGGTAGTGGTCGTGCCATTGAGCAGTAAGCCTTAAGGGATCAAGATCCGCCCCCCCCCCTGGACGGGGCCCGCGGCGAGAAGCAGATGGAACCGTTGACCCATTGATTCCGATCCCAGATGGGCACGCGCGCCAGGGGCAGGGCCGTTCGTGCGAGGGGCGGCGGTGATAACGACAAAGTCTGCGAATCAAGTGACTGTGCAATCCTTTGCAAATCCTCCTCAGGCTTGTTGGGGGGGCACGTCAAATCGAACACGCGCCAAGCCTGGGGGGATGCAAAAACTTACTTCCCCTTCCCCACGCTCGTCGAGCGTGGGGAAGGGTGGGCGACGATGGGGGCACCCTGTTTCAATGTTCAAATCGACGAACAGCGACAAGTGGGGAGGGGCGGGTGAACTTTCACGAAGCGTTGATCGCCCAGTTGTCCTGGGCCAGTTCGAAAGTTGGAAACTCGGCCTTCAGAGCCGCTCGCGCCAGAACGATGTAGGAGCGCATCCTGGCGATGCACTTGTCTATGATATCCACCGAGACACCGGCCTCGTCCCCGATGTGATAACTCGCCCCATAAACTTGCCACGCAATCGGAATCTTCAGCAGCTTCAGCATCATGGTCGTGTAGCCAAACACAGACAAACATCCGCACGAACTGCCAAATAAGCCAGTGATAGACAAGTTGAACGCCAACACCTCGCGATTGAGAATGGCTGGATTGGCCGACTCGTCATCTAAAATCCGAGTGAGTTGCATTGCCTGGTCACTTGCGCCGGCCATCATCGCCAACATCAAGCACCGCTCTGTGTTGACAGACTTGAGCCACGCTTTTGCCATCTTTGCCATATCGTCGTTCTGTCGACGAGAAATGTGCAATGCCGTCCGGATGCAAGCGCGCAGAAAGATGCAGGTGCGACCAAGAGGTTTTTGAAATGATTCAAATCGGTGGGCGGCTGCCCGTAGGTTCGAAACGCTGGCGTTTATGGCCTTGTTCCGGCACATCTTCGTGTAGTTCACGAACACTTGTCGGATGTGCGGGCTGTTCTGAATCATGCGTGCTATGGAGCCTCGGCCGCGAGCGAAGATCATGGCTGTCTCCTTGATGTAAGGGTCAGCGGCCCACGGCCTGCTCACGACCCTCCTGGCTGAATGCGCTTTGTCTCTGATGACGAAGCGGAGCCCTGGGGTCAAGACTTGGGCAGCGGCGCTCAAAGCAGTCGATCGCATCATCTCAGCGCTGAGAAGCTCATCGCTTGCAGAATCAACCGCGAGACACAACACCCGTGTTTTCAGATGTTCCAGAACCCCCCGCCTGAGAGCGGGGGTGCAATTCGCTCCCGGCGGGGGGCCGTGCAGCTCAGTGCACGCTCTGACCATAATTTGCTCTGTTGCGTTGGTGATTGCCGCGGCCCCTGTCCCAAAGCCACGAGCCTGCCCCAACGCCCCTGAAAACTCTGACAGGTCGCCCCCGACGCATCTAAATCGGATGAGTAGCCGCCCCTTCCGCTCGTCACGAAATAAAGAGATTGCTGCACTTGATTTGATGATGTTGATGTCGCGCTGCTTCAGGGCACTCTGGATGCACCACAACATTATACGGTTCTTTGTTGTCAGTAGGCCGCACCCCTTGGTTACGAGCTTGACGACGTCCAGGAAATCAGACTCGCTGGGGCATTGAAGCTCGCCTGGCTCAGCAGAAGAGGCCGATGCAGCCAACTCATGCCGATCCCTCTTCCGCGCATAAGCCGCAGCAGCTGCTTTGTGATTAGGGTTCCGACTGTGTTTGTCGAAGTTGACAGCCTGGAGCGCAGCGACAGACATTACTTGAAAATTGCTGAACGGGCTGTTAACGCCTGCCCAATGGCAGCATGCGCAACCAACTCCTTGCCCGTCCTTCCACTTGCTACTCAACCATGAACCCAACAGAGGGCGGCTCGGATCCACCAGGAATCGCTTAGGCCACTTAGGGTAGAGTCTTTTCCAAAGAGTCGCCGCGGCGAATCTGTCGGATGACTTGCTGCTTTGCTTCTTCTCCACCATAGCTGCATCGGGGTGGCGGGCGGTAGCAATACTAGTCGACCAGGCGGGCAAATGGAACTTGAGCAAACATGTTTACGATAGACGGGCTCAGGAGCGCAACACTAATCAGATAAATGTCATGGACGGCGAGCCGGTCCATCAACGAAGATATGCCATGCGTGGCGAGTCTACGCATCAACGAACCGCATCAAGGACATGATGCGGCCTGCTGTTAACGGGAAGCCTATTATCGTGTTGCAGATTTTTCCTCGGTTGGGCGCATGGAACTCCGCTCGCAAACTTAAGACTGGCAGAACTGCAGCCGACGGGCCGGAACAGCCTGGGCCGATATAAAAAATCTGTTCGTAGTGCAATCAAGTTGCACTCACCACTCATAGTGCAAGGGGAATGGAACCCGCGTCTTCGTGAGCCCAGCGCTGTAGAGCGCCTCAGACAAAATGGCGCCCATGGTATGCACGATCTGGCGGTCGGACAAGTCGAGCTCAGCCTGTGGAATGTCCCCCTTGGCGAAACCTTGAAGCCGCATCATCGCATGCAGCGTCGCCCGCCGCCCGCGGCTGGAGACCCGCGGACCCCCGTCCTGGCCACGGGTTTTGGTGAGCGCCCTGGCGATGTTGATCCCGTGCGTGGCGAACTTCTTGGAACAGTCGATGTCGACCAACACTGGGGTCAGGCGCGGGTCCACCTTCTTCTCGTATGTTTTCTTGTAAGCGTCCTTGCACATGCCCCGGCTGCGCTCGCTGCTGGGGGGCCGACCTGCCACGTCGGTGGTGGCGCGCTTGGGCTCCAGGATGGAAGTCACTGGAGGCGTCGCCTGCTTCTGTGGCCACGTGAACGGATGCATCACGCTGTCTTGCCGCACGCCGACAAGGAAGACGCGCTCCCTCGTCTGGGGAACTCCGAAGTCCTTGCTGTTCAGCTTATTCACGTGTACGACGTATCCAAGCGTCTTCTGCGCTTCTTCAATGCCCTTCAGGATGCGGATAAACTTCTTGTTTGTGAGGGCCGGGACTTTCTCGAAGATGGTCACGCGGGGCTTATTCCTCTTGATGTACTGTATGGACTTTTTGATCAGATTCCCTGTCTTGCGCGGGCCCTTGACTCCCTTCTGCTTGCCGCCCGAAGCGAAGTCTTGGTAAGGCGGGGTCCACACATACACGTCGACGTATGTCTCTTCCTCCTCCGTACGCTCCAATATGTCAGAGAACGTGTGCGCCGGCTGGCACTTCTTTTTGATGATCGACATGCACGCCGAATCCGACTCGCCGACGAACTCGAGAGAATGATTGATACCCATGCGCCCCATGGCCACGGACGCCGTCTCCAAGCCTGAGAAATCAGATCCCAGCTTCAGGACTTTCGGGCGCCGCGGCTGCCTCGGCTGCTGGCGATTCGTCGTCGTGCCAGCCTGTACTGTCTTCTTCCCCATGACGGCGACTCTGGGGATGGGCAGCAGGCGAAGACGAGAAGACACGTACGGGAAGACACGTACTATATATTATTGGTTCGAGCCGAAGCAGCTACTGATGAATCCTGAGTTCGCCGTCGCGCAGCCGACGCAGCTACCGATGGCAGAAACAAAGAGCCGCCACGACGGCGTCGCCGATGTGGCCCATGCTGTTAGCGTTGCGACATTGCCCTCGAGAAACAGGGGCGCTGGCTCCCAAACATTGCCAATGATGATGAAGGCTTCGCAGGCCTCAAGAAGATGGCCCCAAGAAGACGACCTAGAACCCAAAATGGGGCCCAAAGAGGAGGAGGCAAGAGGAGGAGAGAGAGAGGGAGGAGGACCAGGAACAGGAGCAGGAGGAGGAGCAGGAGGAGCAGGAGGCACGTTGAATCGAGGGGCCCCAGACGCCCCCATGATGAGACCAGACCCGCCTAAAAGGCCAAACGAAGGCCCCAGCATTGCCCCAGAGGAACCCCAAGAGAAGAAGGGCCCTTAGATGGCCCCAAGCAAGAAGAGGACCCCAAGATAGCCCCAAGATGGCTCTAAGAGACAACAACCTCCGAGAACCTCTTTCTTACGCATCGTTTCTGGATGGGCTGGTGGGGTCATCGATGCTGCATTCTAGGATGGGCCAGGCTGACAGCGAGCTGCGGTCATGATGAAGGTATAAGTGGCGGTTCGCTGCCAGCGGCGAGCTGCGGTAGGTTAGGGGTGGGCACCGCCGCCGCGGCTCACTGCCGACAGCGAGCTGCGGGAGGAGAGGTCTGCCGCAACACCGCAGCTCCCTGCCGACAGCGAGCTGCGGTAGGAGAGGTCTGCCAGACCACCGCAGCTCACTGCCGACAGCGAGCTCCGGTAGGAGCTCCCTGTCGGGCGTTTCGCCGACAACAGCGAGCTGCGGTGGCACCGCCGGCGCAGCTCACTGCCGACAGCGAGCTGCGGTAGGAGTCTGCTGGCGCACCACCGCAGCTCACTGCCGACAGCGAGCTGCGGTAGGAGCTCCCTGTCGGGCGTTTCGCCGACGGCAACGAGCTGCGGTGGCACCGCCGGCGCAGCTCACTGCCGACAGCGAGCTGCGGTGGGAGTCTTCTGGCGCACCACCGCAGCTCACTGCCGACAGCGAGCTGCGGTAGGAGACTTCTGCCGCGCGCCGACGGGAGCTTCGGTAGGATATGACTAACAGTCATCTCTTAACGCAGCTCGCTGTCGTCAGTGAGCTGCGGTGGCCATGTGGGCCAAGATTGCTGCGATTGCCCCGAAGCAGAGGTATCGCAGCAATCTTGGCCCACATGGCCACCGCAGCTCACTGACGACAGTGAGCTGCGTTAAGAGATGACTGTTAGTCATCTCCTACCGAAGCTCCCGTCGGCGCGCGGCAGAAGTCTCCTACCGCAGCTCGCTGTCGGCAGTGAGCTGCGGTGGTGCGCCAGAAGACTCCTACCGCAGCTCGCTGTCGGCAGTGAGCTGCGCCGGCGGTGCCACCGCAGCTCGCTGCCGTCGGCGAAACGCCCGACAGGGAGCTCCTACCGCAGCTCGCTGTCGGCAGTGAGCTGCGGTGGTGCGCCAGAAGACTCCTACCGCAGCTCGCTCGCTGTCGGCAGCCACCGCAGCTCGCCGCTGCCGTCGGCGAAACGCCCGACAGGGAGCTCCTACCGCAGCTCGCTGTCGGCAGTGAGCTGCGGTGGTGCGCCAGAAGACTCCTACCGCAGCTCGCTGTCAGCAGTGAGCTGCGCCGGCGGTGCCCACCCCTAACTAACTTACCGCAGCTCGCTGCCGTCGGCGAAATGCGCGACAGGGAGCTCCCACCGCAGCTCGCTCTCGGCAGTGAGCTGCGGCGGTGGTGCGGCAGACCTCTCCTATCGCAGCTCGGTGTCGGCAGTGAGCTGCCACCCCTAACCTACCGCAGCTCGCCGGCGTCGGCGAAATGCGCGACAGGGAACTCCTACCGCAGCTCGCTGTCGGCAGTGAGCTGCGGTGTTGTTGTAGCAGGCCTCTCCTACCGCAGCTCGCTGTCGGCAGTGAGCTACCGCAGCTCGCTGCCGTCGGCGAATTGCGCGGCAGACCGCACTTACCGCGTCAGCGTGTTTCGCAGATGCACTTTCACTGCTATCCCGTCTTCTTCTCTCCTAGATGCTATAGTTGCAATCCCAGCGCTGAGTCCAAGTCCAATCGCATCCAAAGCCGAATCGAGAGGGAGGCAGGAGTGGGCCAGGGCGGACGGCGGAAGCCATGATGATGATGGGATGCGATGGCAGGGTGATGACGATGTATTTTTTGAGAGCGGCGCGTGCTACCCGAAACAGCCAGCCTGGCGGTGTGCCCGCCGAATCAGCGATGTTAAATGCATTCGAATGCTGCCAGAAACCACTGTCAACGGAATTATCCTACAACAGCAAACGCAACGCACGCAGCTAACAAAACTGTCATCGGCCCAACAATAAAGCTCCGGTAAAACAATACACTCATTTGCGGGGGAGGGGGTTCTGAACAAGGACATCTGATTCGGCCGATGACTTAATACGGGAACAGCAGCTGCTCATCGCACGTTTCGTCGACCTCGCAGGTCGACTGCACCTCAGCTGGCTGTCACTGCTCACCCAAAGGGTCCCAGAGCTCCTCGTCGCCGTTGGGCAGGTCGTCACCGTCATCACCGCCGTCCCCGCTGCCGCCGCCGTCCTGGCCATCTTCTCCGCCGTCCCCGCCGCCGCCAGCGCCTCCTGAGTCGCCACCCCCGCCCGCCGCCGCCGCAGCCCCGTCATCATCCGTCGTCCCCGCGGCGCCGCGGCCACCGCGGCCACGGCCGCCACGGCCACGGCCGCCACGGCCGCGGCCTCCACCACCACGGCCGCCACCACCTCCGCCGCCGCCGGAGCCGCCTCCGCCTTTGCCGCCGGAGCTGGACGCCTCCATGCCGAGAGATTTCGCGTAGTCCTTGTTGAACAGCTTGGACCCGGCATCCGCCATCGCCTGCTTCACGAGGTCCGTCAGGTAGGAGTAGATCTTCTCCATGTGCTCCTTCGTGAATGCCACCCCGACGTATGCGATCCTCTCCTGGAGACAAGCCCACGCGAATTTCGCATCGGTCGGGGTCAGATCCAGCACGCATTTAACATAGAACATGTGGATCAGCTCATTGTAGTAGACCATCGGCATGCCGTGGAAATTCACGGGGATCATGGTCTCGTCGGTCTTCCGCTCCTGGAGCGGCTCAATGCCTTCTGTTTTGCCACCCACGGCAATCATTTTTTTCCTTCCGTACATAAGTTTCTTGTCCTTCCACAGCACGTGCCATTCTTTGCCAAGCTCTGGGACCTCGACGCCAGTAATCAGATCCCCTGCCGTGCTGCCCTCGAAGTACTTGCGGCGCCGCTCAGGGATCGAAATGCGCGCGTGTGCCACCATGTGCGCCCACTCTATCTGGTGCAGGCTCCCTGTGCCTCCGTGCACCCTGTTGCGGCGCGCTTTCAGGCTGTCCTCCGTGTGCGCGAGCTGGATGATCGAAGCTTTGAAGCCGGCCCTCGGCTCGTTGTCGCTGTCGTCGTCGCCGTCCTGATCGTCGTCGTCGTCGGCCTCCATCACCTCATCGCCGCCGCGGCCGCGCCCCTTAGCCTCCTTCTTCTCGACGGTGTTCTCCTTCCACGGCGCGAACAGCTTGGACGCATTGCCCCTCCGCCCGCCGTCCAGAATCACTGCGACCTCCCCATTGCGGAGATGGCTCGGCTGCCCCTGGGGCGCCCTTGCGTTCAACATCGAACGCGCGAGACGCTCGTACTGCTTCTCCCTGAGGGGCGCAATGCGCAGCTCAGGCCCGTATTGCGGCTCGCCGAACTGCTTCGCGTCGAAGTGGTACAGCACCAGCCCCGTGGGGTCACCCTTGATGGTGGCGAGCGCGGAGTCCCGGAGCACGTTCTCCAGCTCAGCCAGCGTTTTCTGGTCGGGCACGATCTGAATGTAAGTCCGAACGACCTTGTCAATGCCCCTGTTCCAATTCTGTTTGTCCGTCTCTTGCAAGTGGGCGAACTTCTTCAACTCCTTGGGCGCGTCGCCCGCTCAGGTCATGCTGTTGCTGCCCGGGTCTGCGGCGGCAGCCCCGGCAGAGGAGGCGGCCGCTCCGGCCGCTCCAGCCGCCTCGGCGCCATCAGTCCCGTTCTCCCCCTTCGCCATTTCGATGACTTCGTTCGTACGCATGGCGACCGACTCGTAGGCGAGAAAGTCCGCCACATCGAGCTTCGACTGGATGGCATTGGTGCAGCGCCTGTCGAACTCGTGTTTTTTTTATTTTTTTTTTTTTTTGTATTTTGTCTTTGTCGAAATGTCGAACTCGATGGTGTACACCAACTCCTCGATGAGCGCGACAGCCGAAACAGCCGACTGCTTCATCAGAGCTTGCCACGTGGTATCGACTGTATCCCCCGGGTAGCCAGTGACGTACGCCCGCACCGCGGCGAAGGTACCCATCTTCTGCTGTATGGTTGCGACGTGATCGCTTGGGATGCCAACGCGCGGAAGCCATTTGAACAGCATCTCGTTCTTCACGTCGAGCTTCAAGTTCAAGACCTCGACGTAGCTCTCCCTGTAGTCCCTGAGCTTGTTGACACCGAACTTGCCTAAGTCAATGAACTCCTGGTGGTTCTGACTCCTCCCCGACGCTGATTCGCGCCGACCCGCCGACGACGCGTCGACGACGGGTTGGCGCGAGCAGCGAGGGTGTTCAGAACAAACCTTTGGGCGCCATGCGGTAATGGTCCGTGAGGCCCATCATCGCCCAATCGATCTTGTTGGGAGTCGACGCGCGCTCGACCACAGCCTGCGTCGCGTAGAGGCTCGTCCACGGGGAATCGGTCATCAAGTTCTCGTCCGCCCAGACAAGGCACTTGTTGGAGTCTTCCAGGGGCAACAGCCGCTTGTGGACGGTGATCGCGTTATCCACGAATGTCGGTTTCACGTGGACTGTAGACTTCGCGTACTTCATGTGCTTCTCGTAGAGCTGGCTGAGCTCCTTGCTACCCAGCGTCTTACCAATATCTTTCTCCTTCGCCTCCTTAAAACCGACGATGTCGTACACCCATTGCCTCACGCTGAGTTGGGCTGTATCCCCTGTCTCGATCCACTCCTGCCGAATATCATGGGCGCGCCAATACCGAGTGTCGCCTTTCGCCTGCACCTCGAACGTCACTGGCGCCGACAGCGCGACCTGCCTCCACTTTAACAGGACGCTGTCCTCCGCCTCCTTCTTCACCGCGTCGGCCATGCTCATGAGCAGAGCCAATTGCGGCTCGATTGGCGAGAGGCGCTGCAAACTGCCAAGGTGCATGGTGACGTCCATGGCCGGGTTTTCCGCCGCGAAGACGGTGGTCATGGGGAAGACCTCTGGCGGGCTCATCGGGGACATGTGGAATCTGCGGATCTCTTTGACCTGCCCCATGTTCACAGGGGTTTTGTAAGTGGCGCTCCAGAAGAAGTTCTGCCAAAACAGGTTGCTCCCGCAAGTGTAGTTGCTTCCGCGGCTGAGGGCATCAAGGCAGTCCTGCTTGGTGAACGGCGCCTGGCGGCCGCCGTCGGCGATGGTCAGCGGCATTGTTTTCTCGAGGTCGGCCAAGATTGGCGACGTCTTGATGGTGTTCAAAGCCTCGGTGATGATGTCCAGCACGGGGCCCACGCAATTATTGGCCGATGCAGCCGGCTGCGCATTGTCGAAGTCATCATCTCTTCCCCCTGGGGTAGACGGCGCCGATCCAGCCCTTGACCTTGGCCTCTTCATCGGAGGAGGGGCCGATCCAGCCTTGCCCGTGGATTCCCGCTTCTGCGACTGCTTCTTAGGGGCCATGGCAACTCCCACTGCAAGTCGAATGGCCGCAACAGCCCGCGCGTTTTTATGTTCGTCGTTCCGAAGGGCCGCAACAGCCCGCGTCGGTGCACACTCAGCCAAAAAGGTTACGGAGATGAAATGGAGGAGGCGGCGGAGGCGGAGGAGGAGGCGAGCCGCGGGCAGGAGGGTAGCGGGCAGGGGGGTCGCAGCAGCAGTGCCGACGACGACGACGATCGCGAAAGAAGAAGGCGCAGGCTGCGAGGAGGGCCGGCGGTGACGCGACGAGTGCGACGACGACAAGAGCTTGCCGAAACAACAATCAAGCCCCCCTAGCCGATGCAGCCTGCCCGGCCCTCGGCCGCATCAGCCGAGCAGACCAGCAGACCGAGCAGGGAAGTTTTGCATGGCCCGATCGGGCCACCTGTCCTGAAAGGGTTCCAGAGGCGAATCCGACGTGGCCCAGGCATCCCGAGGTAGCCAAGAACTCAGACAGCTCTCTTGCTTGGAGGCGCAGCTGACGCGGCTCTCGACCCCATCTGCGGCGTGGATTTCGCGCGGACCTCCGCCCCTGGAGGCCTCCGGAGGCTCTCGACCCTATCTGTGGCGTGGAATTCGCGCGGGCCTCCGCTCCTGGAGGTCCCCGGAGGCTCTCGACCCCATCTGCGGCATGGAGTTCGCGCGGACCTCCGCCCGTCGTGGAGGCCCCCGGAGGCCATGGCCCCCAACTCTCGGCGACGACGAACGAGCCCGCCGCCGCTGCCTGCATGCGGGGTGAAGAAGAAAGCTAATTCGTCACGCATCGCTACCTCCTTCTCCTCATCATTCGTTTTCCACCCACCATCTCCCATCCAAGTCTAAACGTCCTTCTTCTTCTTTCTTCTTCCACCCACGGATCCAGAGGAGACGATAGGAATTGGGCTGTTTCGGCCAAGAGGCACTGGGCGCCGGCACTCCTCCTCCTGCACTTCTTCTTCTTCTTCTGCCTCCTCCTCTTCCTCCTCCTCTCGCCCCACTCGCCTCCTCATCCCTCCCATTGCTCTCCCTCCTCCTCCTCCTCCTCGTCCGCCCTCCGCCCTCTGATGATGATGATGATGCATGACAATGATGATGTTTTTTTTTTTTTTCACAGGTCGAGCGTCCCTCGTCGAGGCGTCGCTCGCAACTTCCGCGCTTATGCATTTCGCGCTTATACAAGCGAAGGAAGAGCGCACCCCAGTTAGCGGCGACCGCGCAGTCGTCACCATGTTGTTGTTGACGACGACGAAGGGCATGCAGATCGCAAAAAAAAACCGGGGGCGTTGCACACGTACGCATCAACGCTTGTTTCAAGCGCTGTGCTGCTCGCAAAAGGTGGCCGCCGCATCCGTCTCCTGCACCCTCTGGCAACACACCCTGCACGCCATCCGAACGCAATATGCGCCAGGCTGGTTGCGGTGGCATATGGCGCACATGGCCGGCTGAGGCGCCGTGCGGACCCCCGCAGGCCTCGCGCCAGCGGCGTGCTTCTGGGCCCGAGCCAACTTCTTAGAGTGCCAAGCCGCCGAGTGGTGAGACGCAGACTGCCAGCCGGCCCACTCCTGCGCAGGAGGCGCCGCCGCCGCGCCCCCCGCGGCCGAACCAGCCGCGGGCGCAGCAGCAGCATCGGCCGAAACAGCCGCGGGCGCAGCAGCAGCAGCAGCGGCCAACGCCGCCACAGAGGCATTCATCGCGTTGGCGTTCTGGTGCAAGGAGAGCAGGGTGTCCACGGTCGCCTGTAGCATCGAAACCTGGTGCTGGAGCTCCTCCGTCGACGACGCTGCCGGCGCTGCTGCTGCCGGCGCTGCTGCGGCGGCCGGCGCTGCTGCGGCCGCAGCCGCCGACGGGCGCCCTGCTCCCTTCGTCGGCGGGCCGGCTGGCGGCGCGCCCGTGAAGGCCACGTAGGGGCCAGGCGCCGCCGCCCGCGGCCGCGTCACCGGCGCCCGCGGCGGCGTCGCCGGCGCCGCGCCGGCCCCAGCCGACCCCCTGGGCGGCGCCCCCGATGCCTTCTTGAGGAGGTGGGTCGGCGGCGGCGTCGACGGCGCCCTCGGCGAAGGAGGCTTGGCCACCAGCAGCTGCGACGCCGGCGCCAGCGACGACGACGCGTGGGCGGCGGCGGCGGCCGAGCCCCCAGCCCTGCCGCGGCCGCGGCGGCTGCCACGGCCGCCGCGGCGACGATCATCATCATCATCACCACCACTGTCCTGCTGAGGGCCGTCGTCGTCGAGCTCCTCCATCGGGGGGCGACGGCGCGCCCTGGAGCGGCGCCGGCACTGCTCGATCAACTCCATGGCCGTCCTGCCTGTTGGCGCGGGGCGGGAAGGCGGCCCGAGCTGCGCCAGCTGGTCCCAGACGTCCATGTTCGGCAGGCGGAAGTAGTCCGCCATCTATGGGCTAGCGCATCGTTATTATTAGTTGCGAGCCTCAGTGGGGAAAGGGGCTCCCAAAAAAAGGGGGCCCTCGACAACGACGGCGACAGACGACGTACCAAACACATATTATATATACCCTGACGCCCCCTCTTCGTCTCATACTAATAATTTTAATGCGCCAACCACCTCGCGCCAACTGCCGATGCGGACCAGGGCGTCGTCGTCGTCGGGGTCCCACCTATTCCCGACAGGCCGGGCGCCCGTGTACTGGATGACGGCGCCATGTTCAGTGATGGAGTCGCACTGCGCCTGGCCACCCTCGTGGAGGACGCTCCACAAGCACTCGAGGTCATTGTCGATCATGTGGGTCAAGACAACGCCATCATCCTCGCACTTCGGGCCTTTCCCACCGGCGCCGCTCTTGTTACAGGTCAAGTGGACGTTGCTATGATCGAGCCCCATCTGCAGCAGACCTGTGCTCCTGATCAGCCTCACGACCCAAGCCTCCACCTGGCCCAAACGACGATGCCAAGAATGCCACGTGCCACGATTCGTCCGACTGATGAAGTGGACATCATCGAGGCCGAACTCAGCCGCGCACAGCACTGCAAAAGGCCAGAACCCGCCATCCACTGCCTGATAGATGTCGTCGCCTTTGCGGGGTGGCGCAGGCTCGATCGACGCGCCCCGAGGGGGCGCCGCGGCGAATCTGGCGGCGGGCTGAGCGCCACCTCCAGTCCAAGCCGCCGCGGCGCCCTCTCAGGGCGCGCCATGCGCTTGCCCACCCAGCCAGAACCATCCAAGCGCCCCCCCCTGCCGTCGCCGCCCTCCCCGGACGCGACGCCGCCCACGTCGATGCCCAGCACGGGCATGTCGCCGCTGCAGCGGCGGGCGGCGGCGGGCGGCCGCGCCGGCCGCTGGCTGCTGCTGGGGAGTGGGCGCCACCAACAAAGCCAAAACGGCTGTTGTCACGGTGCAACATGCATGCCCCCCTCTTCTTGTTGTCTTCCTCTCTTCTCCCCCCCTGGGATGCGTCCAGCCGCGGCGACGACGAGGAGGCCCCATGGGATGATATGACAATTTTTCGGGCGGCGTCCAGCCGCGGCGACGAGGAGGCCCCCATTCCGAAGGCCAGACACACAAAATCTCGAAACTCCAGGGCCGAAGCAACCCGCAGCGGAGTAGGGGGGAAGCCTGGCAATTCAGATGCAGGGAGGGGCGGGCGAGGAAGCGGATTGGGCGAGACGGAGGAGGACAAGGGGGAGGAAGAGTACACACAGGAGGACGACAGAGGAGGAGGAGGGGGAGGAGGAGGAGGAGGAAGAATCGGAGGAGGAAGAGGAAGAGGAGGAGGGGGATGAGGAGGAGGATGAAGATGAGAAGGATGGAGGAATGCGAGGGAGTCCTGCCCGCCAGGAGGTGTGGGGGGGGGGTGGGGGGGGTAAGGTGCAAGAATGATGAGAAGGATGGTGGAATGAGGTGCACCAAATCCTATCCTTCAAAACCAAAATTTGGGGGCGGGGGTAACATCCGAAACAGCCAGCGGGGTTGGGGGCAACAGCCGAAACAGCCGGCCGAAACAGCCAGCGGGGGCGGGGGTAACAGCCGAAACATAACAGCCAGCGGGTGTGGGCCATCAATCCTTTTCCAACCGGCTGAAACAGCCAGCGGGGGTGGGGGTAACAGCCGAAACACAGCGGGAGGTAAACAAAAACTTGCCCTCGCCAGCCAAACGCCACCATCCCCCCCCTCCCCCCTCCGCTCCTCCCACCCCGCTTTTTTGCTGTGCCCGCCTCCTCCTCCCCTTCCTCCTGCATTCCGCCCACCCTCCTTTTTCCCCTCAGCGCCTCCCTGCGCGTGGCTGTCAACAATAATTCGTACCCTCGTGGGCGCGAACGATTCCCCTCGGGGCGGGACACCAAAATTAATGTCGCGTTATATCCAATGAAACGCGCTGCGCACATTGCGTGAAATCACATTGGAATTGTTAAGCAAATAACATCGTTCGGAAAGTTCCCCTCTAGAAATAACATGACGATGTATTATCATCATATGATTGTTTCCTTGTCGACCACAAACAACGCATGCACATGTATCAATCCATATAAACGTTACACCTATAGAGGAAAACACCAAATCTTCTAGAATTGCACATGCATCCAACTTCCCGCGTCGTTCGTTGTTCGTTCGTTACTACGCGCGCACATTGTCTGCCCCGAAAACGACGATGATGGGGTTGTGAGAATCCATGTGCATATCAACGTACTAACGCTCGCGCAGCGTGCTGTGCGCACGAGCACCGACTTTAATTTTTAGCATGCAGAAGTTATTTTGTGGCATGCTGAATATTAATCAGTGCGCTCGTCGTCAGTGTTTGGGGGCGTGGAATTTAAAATTCCACTGAATGCATCAAAGTCATACGACGAGGATGATGGCGACACGCGCCAGCCCGCGCCACGGCGCGCACGTGCCAACGCGGGTGGAATGGATCCGAACGGGAAACACGCGCGCGAAGCTTTTACAAGTCTTCTGAGTCTCATGAGTCCTCTGGGTCGAGCATCCGATGGGAGTTCAGGAATTCGCCGCCATGCGGGAAGGGTGCGGTCCGCGTGCGGTCACGCCTGGGATGGG